ATAACTGAAATTATGCCAAAATTCTAATTAATAATTAGTGTGTAACCTGTCAAAATTATGACAATATTTTTCTGAAAGGGTTTAGGCAAGCATCCTTATATGAGACTATACATAAATTTGATCTACATAGTGTACTAGTTAATTACTGAATATTCATTGATACAGAGAATTTCACATCATAGTTATAAATGTTTCTGTATTCCTATATTTGGTAATTCTGGCATTAATACAACATCTTATTAATACAGCCACCCAATTAATTACTAATTAACAATTAGTAATTCATCTGATCAATTATCATGGGAAAAAGGTAGAATTAATCCTAAAACATGTATAATCATAGTAAAATTACGTGAAATTCTCTGTATTCACAGATATTCAGTAAATAACAAGTATGTATTTGGGACATGAAAGTTTATGAACATACAATATCCGATATAGAAGCTCTACCAATCTATAAAATGTACAAGCGAACAGGTGTAGTATTACATTTACGCCTAGAAAATTTGGGTGATCGTTATAGTCAATGCCGGGCGTTCGGATACTTATGATCGTTACTGTAGTTTAATTTTATCATTACAGTTTGAATAAGTAATTTTTATCAATTACTTTTATTGACTAGTATACACGAAAAAGACAAATGAAATAAAAAAATTGAAATAAAAATTAAACAATAATTTGCTATAGTGATAAATTACTATGAAGAAATAGGAAAGAAAAAAAGTTTATTCTATTATTTATTATTGTAAGAACCACTGCATTAGACCGACTGGACATATAAAAAACCTGCGCCACTAGGCCCACCGGACTTATAATAAACTTTTATAAGTTCAGTGTCCAGTTAAAATGCCCAACCATAAGAACTAGTTTTAACTTCGGGCACTAAAGGCTCTTTAAAGTGTCTCAACCACAAACTACTCAACACAACACTTATAGAGCTCGTAGCCATCGCTAGTCCCGCGATTTCAGGTCTCAAAGCAAAATGAAAAGCCGGGAAAAAAACACCGGCTGCTATTGGTATAGCCAATGTATTATAAAGATAAGCCCACAAGAAATTCAATCGAACACGGCGTATTATGGCATTTGACAATGTGATTAGCGTGACAAGTGATGAGAGAGTTGACCTCGTAAGAATAATTGACGATGATTCAATAGCAACATCGGTGGCACTTGCTATTGAAATCGGTAGATCTGATT